AACAATCAGAAGTGACAAACGCAAAAGAAAACACGAGTTATCCCTCTATATAACTGATTGAAGTGGCGAGTGATAACCGATACACGGGCGAATTTCTGCAAGAGATGAATAGAGAACAAGCTAAAAAAAAAAACGTGATTTTTCGACAATCACGAGCCATAATTCAGTAAGTAATGGTCTTCTGAAATGTGCCAATATCGAAAGGAACTGAGATCTTTGGGATATAAACATATAACATTTTAAGTTTTATCAAAATCGGACATAAATTGTGACCTCTAACCTTCGTATTACATACTCTTACAGTATTTGTGTACAAGGAACGGCCATTTTGTTGGGCGGTTTCGTTTTGATTTTCCAATCAGATAAATATTATGACCTCAGGGGCCATTATCCACGAAGTTATGTTCTGATGTGTGTGAATATTGAAAGGACAGAGATCTTTGGGATATAAACATATATTTTGAGTTTCATCAAAATCGGATAAACCTTGGGATTACATACTTTACACTATTTGCGTTTAAGGAGCGGTCATTTTGTTGGGAAACTTCGGTCCGATTTTTAAGAATTTCGATCTCAACCATCATCGGCGTGTAACGATGATACATTTAATCGATTTAAAAACTGGATAAAAAAAATTGTGACCTCTAGAAGGTCAACAAGCTTAAATCGCGATTATTTCGTACAATCAGGGACAGGGGGGTGGATGGCCGAATGGTTAGCACGTACGCGCTGTATCATAAGGCTTGTGATTGAGTCAACTGGCGTGGTTTCGAATCCCTGGTTGTACATGACAAGGAGTAGGTTCGCCTGTCCAACCTCGTGGGTTTTCTCCGGGTCCTCCGGTTTCCTCCCCCTGCTATATATATATATATATAGACCCCTGCGCAACCGAAGTATTGAAATAAAAGTAAACCATATTTTAGTCCCAAAATGACCTAGTTTGTGTTGAGTGGACGTAAACCCCACCTTTCTCTCTCTCTCTCTCTCTCTCTCTCACACACACATTTTTTTTTTCTTTTAAGTGAATGTAAATAAACAAGTATCTACAAATTGAAAAATTATTTTGCAGTTTTAAGTCCTATCAAAGTTGTGACCGCTAACGTGATTTTTCGTACAACCAGGGGCCATAATCCACGAAGTTACGGTCCGATAAATGCCAAATTTCAAGTTTCGTTGAAATCGGATAACCAGCGGTTGTGAGGCAAGATACGCCAACATTTTGCAAGAGATGGATAGAGAACAAGCTAAAAAACAAATGCGATTTTTTCAATAATCTGGAGCCATTAATCCAGGAAGTTACGGTCCGATATGTATATATATCGAACGGAAACGGATATAAACATACATTGTATATGGGTCATTCCATGTCAAGTGGACCAAATTTCGGAAATTTGGGAACATGACCCCCTCCAAAAATATTATAAAAAATATATGTTTTATATTTAGGCTAACAAATCCAAAATTATACCCCTCTATAATATAGGTCGAAAACTCGCTGAGATATGGCCATTTGAAATTAGGTTACTGAAACGGATCATAAATTCTGTAATGTGTTTTTTAGGTTTTCGGGTGCTTTAAACTCACATTTCTAATCGGAGTAGAACTCTCTAACTTTGTAACCTGACAACTTTTGGTTTAGATTACGAATTTAACATCAAACACAATGTGCGATTCACACAGTTCGTGCCACAAGGTGGCAAAATGTGGAACAAATGAACTATTCACTTTTTTTTCAGGATTTCCACAGCCTCTGGCAAAGTCACTATTTTATACACAACCTCGATAATTGGCATAGTTATTATCAGTTTGTCTTTTATCGATTTACAAAAGATTCTGAGTCGATGGGATATATACTTTTCCAAACATTCAGTCTCGAAATTCAATGCACACTAAAAACGTACCTTCAATTTTGTCCATGTAGGACAGAGGTTGAAAATTCTGAAAAAGATTGATAACGAAACTTTAATTACCCTACTATAACATACATTAAAGTCCGTCTTGTGTATTTGTTGGCTTATATTTTTAATTGGCACTTGAAATCTGGGCGGTGATGAAGTTTTAATGGCTATTATCAAAATTGTTGACTTTTCACACTGATTTTAAAATAACTGCTAAATGACCAATACTCCTCAAACGTGTTTCTTTAGAGTGACTTTTTGCGTAGATTACAAATATGTAATCATTTTGGATGTACATTGTATTGTTCTAATTTTATTTTGCTTTCAAAACCTTTGAGTTATAAACATGTATTTCACAACCAGATCATAATTGTCACCTCTAGAGGGTCCACAACCTTGATATACCATATGTTTACGCTATTTGCGTACGAGGGGCGGCCATTTTTTCCAGCAGTTTTGGCTCAATTTTCACGAAATTCTAACGCAATCGCCATTAAGGTGTAACGGTGATATATTCGAACGTTTTTTTTAATTTGGATAATAATTGTGACCTCTTGAAGGACCGCAAGCTAAAAACGTGATTTGTCATACTATCCGGGGCCATAATTCAGGAAGTTACGAACCGATGTGCGCGAATATCGACAGGAACCAAGATCTTTGGGTTACAAACATGCATTTCAAGTTTTCACCAATAATCAGATGAAAATTGTGACATCTAGAGTTTCCACAAGCTAAAAACGTGATTTTTCGTACAATCAGAGGCCATAATCCATGAAGTTATGGTCCGAAAGGAACCGAGATCTTTTGGAGACATCTAGATTGTCCAAAAGCTAAAAACGTGATTTTTCGTACAATCAGAGGCAATAATCCATGAAGTTATGGTCCGAAACGAACCGAGATCTTTTGGAGATAGATCTATATTTTAAGTTTCGTCAAAATTGGCTAAAAATTGTGACCTGTAGAATGTCCACAAATAATTGTGAACGGACATGGGCGATGACACTATACGTCCACATGGAAATGTGGGTGTATAAAAACAGTTTACAAACCAGTTCGTTTTTATAAAGGTAGATAACCATATTCATGTCCATTTACTGATTGATTTATGTAAATGTATAAATTTCTTATTCATTTATATTTAATTATATTATCAAAACCTGTAGTATGTTTCGCTGATTTGAAATGTGTATTACATCTACAGTGTATATGTTTGACCTTTGTTATTATTACTATTCGTTCTTTGAAATGTTTCATTCTTTTCTCTGTTTATTATTATTGAACTTATATTTGGCAATTTGATTCTCAATAAAACTCCTGAACCTACATATATATATATATAAACATCTGTCTGGTCTTCATTTATATATTATATAATAATTGCAATTTGTTAATAAATACGCATTTAGCATAATTTGGACGCCTCTCATTTAGCCTACCTGCTGGCTAATTCCTAACCTTGTCTCTTGAAGGGGAGCCTTTGTGTTTTGATTACTTTACCCGTTGAGAATTACTTCCCTTTGCCAACACCTTTTTCATTTAACGATTTATGGGATTGGTCGATAAAAATAGCACAATCATCAAGGGCAGATAAATAGAAAATTGCCCCCCCTCCCCGATTAACGCAGGGGGTAGGGGAGTAGAATGGAATGAAACCACTGTGGATACCATACAATCAAGGGCCATAATTCAGGAAATTACCATCCGATATGTGCAAACATGGAAAAGAACTAAGATCTTTGGGTTATAAACATGCGTTTCAAGTTTCATCAAAATCAGATGAAAATTGTGACCTGGTGATTTTTCGTACAATCAGGGGCCATAATCCATGAAGTTTCAATATCGAAAGGAACCAAGATCTTTTTGAGATAAACCTGTATTTCAAGTTTCGCCAAAATCAGATAAGAATTGTGACCTGTAGAGTGTCCACAAACAAATTGTGGACAGACAGGGGCGACGGCAATATACGTCCACATGAAAATGTGGGCGTATAAAAAATATGTTGCAGTCCATTCCAGAGATAACGTTAATCAATAATTGAAATGATCAACCAAAATTGATCAAGTCGTTCGAAAAGAGGTGTGTGGAAGTTGTCATTGATATACCTTGATCTGCCATACTTTGACACTATTTGCTTACAAAGAGCGTCCATTTTGTCCGGCAGTTTTGGTCCAATTTTCACCAAATTCGAAATCAAACATCATTATGGTGTATTAGTGATATATTTGAACGTTTCATTAAATCAGATAGAAATTGTGTCCTCCAGAGGGACCACAAGCTAAGAAAGTGATTTTATGTAAAATCAGGGGCCATAATCCATGAAGTTACAGTCCGATACATACCAATTTCTAAAGGAACCAAGATCTTTGGGAGATAGACATATTTCAAGTTTCGTCGAAATCGGATAAAATGTGGGTGTATAAAATATGTGACCTGTAGAGTGTCCACAAACAAAATGTGAACAGACAGGGGCGACAACAATATACGTCCACAGGAAAATGTGGGTGTATAAAAACTGTAGACATGGTTGGGTTCAGAATGCTTCCAGCAAAGGGGTGTAATTCCAAGACGGACGGTTGCAGAATGCTGAATATCAATAGGTTTGGCCCTCCCAAAAACCCAATGTTTCACACCAAGGTTGAAAAAAAAAAAAAAATATAAAACAGAGATGAGATTATTAAGGTGATCCTTAATAAATGAGATAGGGTTTAACGTCCTGCTTTTCTGCTTCATATTGGCTAATGAAGACAGGCATATGTCATGCAGTGTGATATGAGGGAAATTTTGCCCAGGCAGTGGTGGTGCATTCTACTTGAGTTCCAACTGTCAAAGGTTCTTTTACGTCACATGTCAACAGTACATGTGACCTCGATATTTTGTGGCTCATCCTGACGACTAGATGCTGTTCCTTAACACTCAAATAATTATTTTATATTCAGCATTATTGTTTAACCTCAAATGTAGAAAAACTCTTTATAATTTGTATCCTTCTTTTGAATTTATTCCAACTTTCAAATAATGTCAATTTTTTTTTATTATTTAACTACTTGTATTCAGATAAATCTAAATAAATGGTTGGCAAAATTAAAAGGGAATTAGTTGGCATTTAGTGAAAAATACAATTTATTATTCATGCAAACAGTAATATATATCAAAGTTCTTTTTTTTTTTTTACATGAAAATCTAAGGCAACACAAATAAAATAAGTTGTGTGGCCTAATAAATTTCAAAACTAAAGAGACAGCTCTATGTATGTCTCAGTTTAGTCTTCTTTTTACTATTCATATCTTTAACTTTCTGGGCATGTTTAGATATAGTTTTTCCCATGTTGCTATATTTCTGGGCATCTCCTCTGTTCATCTTTATTTTATCACGACAGCCTTGTCCACCTTCCCAATGACAGCCAGCGCTCTTTGTCATCAGTTGAGTACAACCTTTACAAGGCTTCTCCACAGAATATATCTGAAAGGAGAAAAGTTTGAAGAGGATTAAAGAATCTTATTGATACTAAATATCTACTGAACTGAGTCAGGTTCAACATATACTGTTAATGTAGTATGTACCATCAAACGATCTAGCTGTCTTGAAAACAAAGTCCATACTAAAATTGTGTTCAAAATTACAAAAAAAAATTACAAAAAAAATATAAAATAAAAAACCCAACAGTACTTGTCAACATATAACGGTGATCATTGCTAGTTGTATTCCCCCAATAGGTAGCTAGCATTTGATATACTTCTATTATAAGCAATGGAATGCTTACAATTATATACAATTTCAAACTAAATTTGCTGGAAATCACTAATCAGTTAACCACATACAAGAAAGCAGCGGTGATATCTACAAGACCGTAATCCTGAATGTATATTCTGATACGTTTCAGCACTAACCAAATAAACACATCACATCAACATAATTTTACACTATAATTGACCTAAATCCAAAAGGTTTTGTTTCTTTTAAGAATTTGATCAAATCGAAATCTATTGAAGGTGTATTATTATTGTAAACCTTACCTGTTCTGTACAACAATAACCACAAATCATTCTATTAGCATACTTCATCTCATGATCAATTTCATTCTCATTGTGACATATATCACATGGATAGGTCTTTCCACAACATGGAAATCTACAAAATATAAATAGAATCATAAACTACATATATATTTTATATATATATTTATTTTATGATCAGTAGTGGAATACAGCGTTTTATCAGTGAAATAAAAGTGTTATTCCACTGGCTAGTTGTTTTTACCTAAAATGATTGTAAAATCATAAAATAAATAGAACATTTGTCGTTTTGTCGTGAATAACATATTTTATTTCATCTCTAAGCAAGAAAACATTTATATTTTCACTCATGCTACGCATTCGTGAAAATATAAGTTTTCTTGCTTCTCGATGAAATAAAATATGTTATTCACTCTAAAACGACAAATATCCTCTATATATATACCATAAAGAAAACAAGCCAACAGTGAGGCTGATATCCCCCGCCGAAATCCCAAAATAAATAGATGACACATATTAATTAATCGCATATTTATTTTTTTCAAAAGTATCGAGCAATCAAACTACACACTAAGTTTCATCACTCTCTATCAGACAGAATCAAGATTACTTTGTCCCAAAGCATTGACCAATGAAATTGATTAGCTCTGCTTAGCTTTATCATGAAATGTTAATCATTGAAATCAGTCAAGACATTCACCTAATGAACATCAACATCAGTTTAAACATTCTACCCGAATTAAAAGCAGAGTTTTTATGTTTCAAAGTCTTGACCAATCAAATTGTTTATCGCTCCTTAGCCCAGGCAGAAAATTCGCACAATCGAACTTAGCCAAGGTAATGATATAATGAATCTATATTCAGAATTCCATCGCTCTCACTTCATTATAACCAAAGTTATCGTGCCCCTAAAGCATCAACCAATCAGATTGCTTATCTCTGTCTACCGTAAGCAGAAAATGCTCATCTTTGAACTCCATCAAGGCATTTACCTAATAAACACCTACAACAAGTTTGAACATTCTAGCTCAATTAGAAGGAGAGTTATTGTTTCCCAAAATCTTGGCCAATCAAATTGCTTATCGCTCTACTTACTCTGAGCAGAAAATGCTCATTATCGAACTTCGACAGGGTATTGATGTAATGAAACTATAAACCAAGTTTCATCACTCTCACTTAATTAGAACTAAAGTTATCGTGTCCCAAAGCATCAACCAATCAAATTGCTTATCTCCGCTTACCCTAAGCGGAAAATGCTCATCTTCGAACTCCATCAAGGCATTGGCCTAATAAACACCTACACCAAGTTTGAACATTCTAGCTCAATTAGAAAGAGAGTTATTGTGTCCCAAAAAGTGTGACGGACAGACAGACGGACGGACGAACCCATTATAATAGTCCCCTGCTTTCTTCGAAAGGCGGGGGACAAAAAGTAATGACAGTAAATTGAAGATAATAATTTTATAAAATTTTTAGTCCATAACAGATTTGAACTTGCCACATAGGGTTCAACGTCCACTCAACACAAAGTTCATTTCGGACCAACTTATGGTGCAAATTTATTTCAATAATTTTCCTCTACGTAGGGAACTTTAGCAGTGGGAGGAAACCGGAAGACACGGAAAGAATCCTCAGTTTTAGGCAGGTGACCCTACACCATTAAACAAATATTTACTTGTTCAACAAACCGTATAATAGTTGTTTATCTTAAAAATTTCCCCATCATATTAGATATTGATAGTATCAGAACACAAAATACCTGAGCCATCTGTAACTTTTTTTATAATGTTTACAAGCTCCATTTGCAGGTAGTGGTTTACCTTCTTGTATAGCTGGATTTTTGATTATACGATTTGCTTTCTTCACACCAACTTTGTGTATTTGACCAGAATCTAAAATATATTCAAATAGAAAATTTAAAACCCCGTTCATTTGCCTTTTTCTGGTATCTAATTTAATCCACATACTCAAATTGATTATTTAACATTAAAAAAAAAAAGAAAAAAAAAAATAGGCTTAGATTCAATAGGATTAAAAGATTTTAGCTAAGACTTATAGGTGGTGATGGCTGTTTATATGTGTTATTGATGATAAGGCCTTATATTTACAGCAAAATGGGTTGGGTTGATTTTGCAGATGAGTTAGGAGTCTGAAAAAAATATGTGCCCTAACTTAAAGATACATTATGGGAGATTTTAATAGAGAGTTGGCCATTCTTGCTATAACAGTTCAAAAATAGATGATGAAAGAAGAATATATTGAAAATTTCAGTCAAATTACTTTATTCTGAACAAAGTTATCACCATTGTAATTTTTGACTAGAAATAGGAGTCAAATCCCTCTTCACCGTCTACGAGAATGCAGGCCGTTTGCTTGACAGGCGTTAACTCCACCTACATAATCTCGATTATCAAGTAACGTTTTCAATTCGTATCACATTTATTTTTACTACAAATTAAAAATAGGACTTTTATTATATAGATAAGAAGCGAAAGTTTTAAAGGAATGGACCAAATCAATGAGGCATAATTATAGCCGACTTCTTCAATCTTGTTAGCCTGCGTGTACTCCCGAAGCAGACAAATTGAAATCGGAAACATTGATCCAATGGGGCTGCATGGGCTGCAATTCAACTGGGGTGATGTTAGCTGCGATGTTTATCAATTTCCATAACTTTTCTGTAAATGCAAGTGATAAAAGAGCGTATAATACCGACATCAAAACTCTCATTTTAACCACAAATAAACATAATATCAAGGCCGTATATATCGAACAATCAAATTGACCGACATATGCGGCCTCGCTCAACAGCGGCCTCGCTTTGTACACTCTATCATTCAGCCTCGATCTAAAATTTCCCGGAGTATGACGTCAACGTAACGGTTAATCTCAGCTTACGACGCCATTTAAAAATTTAATCAATCAATGAAATCCTGTTTAAATCCAAGCCATCCGTGGGTCTACAGAGTTGATTTTGTGCTTGTTGTGTAAATAAAGATCTAATTTATAATTTCTATGACATCTGAAGCCTAAATAAAGACTTGCAATAATCAGATTTATGTTTAAAACATTTGATAGATGGGATAATAAAAGCCAATATTGTCAAGTGTCAATAGGAATTTATAAAACTTACTTGGAGTCTCAATTTCTGCTTGCTGTAATTCAAAAAATCTTACAGCATCCACAGCTATGCGCAACTTCTCATGGCAAGATCTACAGTTAATATCATGAACTTGACCACTACAAAAGGCCTGAAATAATAAATAACAAAACATGAAATTGATAGAGCTCTTCCATCTTGAAGGTGTATCTCGACCTACTATTAATGTCACATTTCTTATAAATTTTGTTTGGTTAAGGTCAGTATGTCCTGATGTACACAGTACAAAATTAATATATAGATTAGAGAGCTAGAATAGTAGTAGTTAGTACGCACTTGCAGTCAGAATCAGTGCCGGATTTAGATGAGAGGCCATTCCATCCTCACGAATAAAGGAAGATGAATGTGTCTTTTAACAAGAGCATCGCTAACGCAGCAATATACGTCCACATTCCTGTTTTGTTTGATATGGTCCAGTTTGCATTGAGGGTCTGTGAAATAAAACTGGGTTGTAGGACTGCTATCAGTTTAACACTTCGTTCACATTAACAGAACACAATTTTTATTTTAAAACAATCGATGTCTTTATTCCAAAAGCATGACGTTTCGAATAGGTATGCAAAGTTTCAAAAGGATCTGTTAAGAATTGCGGTCTGTAGGCAAAACACAAGACACACAAACATTAGGCGTGGCTCTGTCCCAAGGGGTCGAGCATGCACCAAAAATAATAATAGAGGTCGGCCTTAGGATTAAGGAATAAGTATAAAAAGTAGCCTTAGGCTATAAGGAATAAGTATAAAAAAGTTTTCAAGATGATCGATTAAGAAATGCGGTCCGCAAGTGACACACAGACATAAAAAAAGAAAATGGGCGTAGCTCTGCCCCTGGGGGTTGGGTATTCACCACAAATAATAGGGATGTTCCTTAGGATAGAAGGAATATGTATGCTAGGTTTCAAGGTGATACGATAAGAAATGCGATCATCGTTAGGGTATAAGCAATTCATATGAAATTTTTTCAAGACGATTGATTAAGAATTGTGGCCTGTAGGTGACACACAGACATAAAAAGAAAAGAAAATGGGCGTGGTTCTGTCCCTAGGGGTAAAAAAACCAATATGGATCATCGTTAGGGTATCAATTCATATGAAAAAATTTCAAGACGATTGATTAAACATTGTGGCCTGTAGGCGACACACAGACATAAAAAAGAAAATGGGCGTGGCTTTGCCCCTGGGGGTTGGGCATGCAACCAAAACGATAGGGATGTTCCTTAGGGTACACAGAATAAGTATGCAAAGTTTCAAGATGATACGTTAAGAAATGTGGCCTGTAGACGACAAACAAACAAATACAAAAACTGGGCGTGGCTCTGCCCCGGGGAGGCGAGCATGCACCAAAAACAATAGGGGTCATCCTTAGGGTATAAGGAATAAGTATGTAAAGTTGATACGTTAAGAAATGCGGTCTGTAGATGACAAACAAATAAATAAATATAAGGAATGGGCGTGGTTCTGCCCCTGGGGGTCGGGCATGCACCAAAAACAATAGGGATCATACTTAGGGTATAAGCAATTCATATGAAAAATTTTCAAGACGATTGATTAAGAATTGTGGCCTATAAGCGACACACAGACATAAAAAGAAAAGAAAATGGGCGTGGCTCTGCCCCTGGGGTCGGGCATGCACCCCAAACGATAGGGATGTTCCTTGGGGTACAAAGAATAAGTATGCATAGTTTCAAGATGATACGTTAAGAAATGCGGTCTGTAGATGACAAACAAATAAATAAATATAAGGAATGGGCGTGGCTCTGCCCCTGGGGGTCGGGCATGCACCAAAAACAATAGGGATCTTCCTTGGGGTATAAGGAATAAGTATACCAAGTTTGAAGAAAATCCAGTAAGAATTGCGCCCTGTAGGCGACACAAAGACACACGAAAAGAAAATGGGAAATGGGCGTGGCTCTGCCCCTGGGGGTTGGGCATGTACCCCAAACGATAGGGATGTTCCTTAGGGTACAAAGAATGTGTATGCAAGATTATAAGTTAAGAAATGTGGCCTGTAGACGACAAACAAACAAATACTAGAAATGGGCGTGGCTCTGCCCCTGGGGGTCGGGCATGCACCAAAAACAATAGGGATCTTCCTTGGGGTATAAGGAATAAGTATACCAAGTTTGAAGAAAATCCAGTAAGAATTGCGCCCTGTAGGCGACACAAAGACACACGAAAAGAAAATGGGCGTGGCTCTGCCCCTGGGGGTTGGGCATGCACCCCAAACGATAGGGATGTTCCTTAGGGTACAAAGAATGTGTATGCAAAGTTTCAAGATTATTAGTTAAGAAATGTGGCCTGTAGACGACAAACAAACAAATACTAGAAATGGGCGTGGCTCTGCCCCGGGGGGTCGGGCATGCACCAAAAACAATAGGGATCTTCCTTGGGGTATAAGGAATAAGTATACCAAGTTTGAAGAAAATCCATGAAGAATTGCGCCCTGTAGGCGAACCACAGACACACACACACACACACATACATACACACACACACACACACACAGACAGGGGCGACGGCATAATACGTTCACATTATGAATGTGGACGTATAAAAATAATTGTAACATGTACGGGAAATCTTCCTTTGTTCTTTTTGTTGAATAAGCAGATTGTTTTCCCTCTAGTAGAATGGGTGAAGCTTAACCGTGCAATAACTAGACATGTTCAATGTTATTGCACACTTTTGCTGGTTTACACTAGTTTTAGTAGAAATCATATAGAGAAGTGGACTGGGTTTTCTGTGCAATAACAACAAGCATGTTGAGCAGGTGTCAATGTTACAAGTCATTTATAGCACGCTTCATTCGCTAACAGGTTTAACCAGTGGCCGAGGTGTTAAACCTGTTTACTCATGAAAGCCGTGCTATAAATATAACTTGACCAAAGCCAAGGATGATAACGGATGTTTAAGAAGACTAACAGTGTGTGTGTAAGAAAGGCTTGACAGGGTCTTGGTTCCTAGGCTTCAGTTTGCCAAGCCTATAGTCTATAGGTAAATCTAGCACTGGTGATGCGTTTCCAATGATTTTCAAAATAAATAATTCAACCTACTGATATTTTAGTTGTATTGTTGCAGTTCATACAACTAACAACAGGTGAAGACTCTGGAAGAATTAGATCAAATGGTGTACAGTTGTTTAGATCAAGATAACCAATAACTGAAGAGTATTGATGAGCTATAGCTGGTCGATAACGAGCTATCTGTGTAGTATTACATTTTGTACAGTCAAGTGAATTGATACGGTTGCAAGGTGTGCTAAACTCAGACTTTGTTTTGCATCGGATACATTGGATAGATAGATTTATTTTCTCGAAGATAAGGGTCCCACTCTGTTCCTTTAATTGAAGATTCTTGAAGGACACCTCTGTTCCTTTTCTTTCAACGTCAGCAAATGTTTGTTTAGTTTCTTTATCTTCATCCTCACTACTTTCATTTTCATCCTCATCTGTGTCATCCTGGCTGTTAATAACATCAGAGTCATTCTCATCATCAGCTGAATCAGGAGTAGCATGTTTAACATTAGACTGAAGCTGAGAAGCAGGTATGAATTCAAACCCTGCAGCCTTGGCAACCAGTTCCTTTTTAAACTGCAAAAGATAAAATTCACATAAGGCTAATTGTACTTAAAATGATAATACATTTACATAAATATTAATAATGTTTAATTATCCACTGCATGTACTAATACATGTTTGTTTTATATAAATAATATATTTACCTGACGTAATCCATTTGTCACTACACTCTCTAGATTTTTGTCCAGCCAATGCAAGAGAGGTCGAAACAAAAGCTCTAATTTATCAGTTTTTTCAAGGGTATCTGATTTCTCACTCAACCAATCGCAAATACTTTCTTGTACATATCTACAAAATAAAACAAAAATATCTGTGTGTTTTTGGTTGTGTTTATGTGTGTGTTCACTACATTTAGCCAAACAGAAAAAAATGGGATTTAATGCCCTACTTTTCTGTACTAACAGTGTGCTATGAGGAAAATTTTAGGCACTACAGCCTACTCTTATTTTGAAGCCAATCAATTAAACTTATAAATTTTAAAACAAGTTCATACATGTAATAACCATTTTGTTAACAAGTAATTTAATGGTACTATTTCATTCACTTTGTATTTGGTGTAGTGTTTAAAGATGAAATTCATACTTAATTCTTTATTGAAAATTTTGTCTTGAATGACTGGATGTCAAGAGAAGAAAACTCCACTTTGCAGAATGTATCATGGAAGTTATGCACCTTGCACAGAACAAAAGTGTGTTTAAAATAACTTCAGTTTGTATAGAAGAAATGTATTAGCCTTATCTATTTTATTTGGTGCAGTATTCAATAATGAAATTGACAATTAATGATTATAGCATTATAATAAATGCCAAAGCTACATGTACATCACTCATCAACACTAATAACAAAAAAAAAAGCATTCAACATGAAGCTCAATTTTAGAAGAAGATATTCCATTATAAATCTCAATATTTTTGTTAACTAATTCTCTACAAAGAAATAAAACAGATGAAAGCAATAATCTTTTCAAATTTAGATGGAAATCAGCACAAATACTAATAAAGGCAAAATCAGCTGTTGTTTTTTTGTCCTTGATATAATCCAAGATTTTTATACTAACCTTCGAACAGTTTCAGGCATATCTTGTTCAGTTGGCATATTAACCAAAAGGATCTGAAATAAAGACAATACTCTGGTAACAGTATACAATATTAATACTTTGATTTTAATGGCAATAAATTAAACATATTTTATGTATGTCTGAAATAAATAAAAAAATAGGTTGCCAGACAACGAAATATATGCCCACAGCAGCTAAAACACCCGGGCAGTCAACAAGAGTTATTGCATATTTTTACTTTTTTTGGTAATGAAACATTCATAATACATTAAAATCTGATTAAGAGTAACAACTCATTAAGTAATTATCAGAAAATCATTAGAATTTGTTTGGCTTTTATAAAGTTCTCCTCCATGCTAATGTTTAGTATACGATACATTTAATATCATGGATTTAGCTGTTCAAAGTATCAAATTGCATTGAAAATCAATAAACTTGTTCGTCTCAAGACCTTAAACTCTGTATCAATCTAAAGTCAATCGGATGATAACTTTAGCCTCTAGAGCATCCACAAGTTTTTTTAAAGTGATCAAGGGCCATAACTCTGGCAGTAATTATTGGAAATCGTTGAAAATCAATAGGCTTCTTCATCTCATGACCTTAAATACTGTGTATAACTCTAAAGTCAATCGGATATTAACTTTAGCCTCTAGAGAGTCCACAAGATATTTCAAAGTGATCAAGGGCCATAACTCTGGCAGCAATTATCAGAAATCGCTGAAAATCAATAGGATTCTTCGTCTCATGACCTTAAACACTGCGTATAAATTTAAAGTCAATCAGATATTAACTTTAGAATCTAGAGAGTCCACAAGATTTTTCAAAGTGATCAAGGGTCATAACTCTGGCAGTAATTATTGGAAATCGCTGGAAATCAATAGGCTTCTTCATCTCACTAATATCAACAACATATATCAATTTCAAAACAATCAGATAATAAATGTAGTCTGTAGAGTGTTCACAAGAAATTGAGGACGACAGCCGGATGTACGGACGGCGGCGACGGCAATATACGACCACATTTCCAATGTGGGCGTATAAAAAGATGACATCTAGAGCGTCCACAAATTTTTTTGGAGTGATCAAGGGTCATAACTCTGGCAGTAATTATCGGAATTTGCTGAAAATCAATAGGCCTCTTTGTATCATGACCTTAAGCAATGTGTATAAAATTAAAGTCAATCGGATATTAACTTTGACCTCTAGACCGTCCACAAGATTTTTTGAAGTGATCAAGGGCCATAACTCTGGCAATTATTATCGGATATCATTGAAAATCAATAGGCTTCTTCGTCTCATGACCTTAAACACTGTGTATAAATTTAAAGTCAATCAGATATTAACTTTAGAATCTAGAGCGTCCACAAGATTTTTCAAAGTGATCAAGGGTCATAACTCTGGCAGTAATTATTGGAAATCGCTGAAAATCAATAGGATTCTTCATCTCACTAATATCAACAACATATATCAATTTCAAAACAATCAGATAATAAATGTAGTCTGTAGAGTGTTCACAAGAAATTGAGGACGACAGCCGGACGTACGGACGGCGGCGACGGCAATATACGACCACATTTCCAATGTGGGCGTATAAAAAGATGACATGCTTTATCAAATATATAAATGTAAATTACATATATATGTACATGTATATGCATAAACTTGGGGTATGAAATACTGATGTTAAGAAACTTAGAAAATGTACCTCTTTTGGATATTCTTCTGTAATGCTCACCATTAAAACAAAATTTTTCACATCAAAAGGCTAAAAAAAAAAAGAGCACTGGTATGTAAAATTCAAACATATCTGTACATGTATGTTTTTATTTGATGAAATTAATAAAAACCGAAATGATTGACTCAAGGCTAATAATATAAATACAGGATTAGATATTTAAAAATCGCTGCACAACAGCAGTACAAAAACAGACATTAGATTTAGATGAGGTGGTTTATTCATCTTTATAACATTTCGAGTTATATGACACACAATCAAAGATCTACTGGCCTGTTCAGCTCAGGTTCTCTTTTAAGGGAGTGTTCCACCCCCCCCCCATTCCTATACCGGTATAATAGATTACTAACCCAATCAGGATCACTAGGAGTAAAGCAAAAACTGGCAACAAATTTTTTGTAATTCTCTTCAACAATAGTCAGTTTATCATTCGGAAATCTCTTCTTCATCTGCTCTATCTCTGTCTTTCTCATACCATTCAATTCCTCTTGGGATGCAGCTGATCTCTTTGGAAGTAAAACTCTCTTAACTGGTAGAACAGGAAGGCGCTGTGATCTTGAAACTTTGCTGACCTTTGGATTAGTAGTTGGTACAGCTTCCATCTTCTTCTCATCCACACCAACAGTATTAGTATTACTGATTGAGTTGTGTACATCATTTAAGCTTATCCCATCCACTGGATCCTCAACATTTTCCATCAAGTCTTTTGGATGAAATAACCTGCAGCGATGTCCCCATCTACAATACCCAGAAGTGAAATAAGGACATATTCTTTTCCTAGTGACAGAGGGCTTAATTCTATCTTCCCTTGCTTCTGTGTCTTCATTTTTGGTCGTAATTCTATCTTCCCTTGCTTCTGTGTCTTCATTTTTGGTCGTAGGCCTAGGTTCAGCCTCTTCTATAGCTTTCTTCTTCTGAACATAAAAGTGCAAGTACTTGCAACTTTTTCCAAATTTGCAATGACCATACTTGGCAAAAAAAGTACATATTTGTTTCTCACTTTTTCCATCCTTTGGGGTCCCATCCTGATCAATTAAACCATCACCAGAAGCTATAATTGTATTCTTCTTAGATTTGTTCTCCTTGGCAGCCTCGGCTTTCACTCTCCTTTGCTCCTTTCCATCTGTCTTGGGATCTCTTGATTCTGGATGGTAATATCGACAATTAGTGCCATAGCCACAATAACCTTTTTTAACATAGAAATCACAGATATCTGTTTGAGAAGATTCTGGAATCTCTCCCGTGATTTGATTGTCGTAGTAGTAGTTTACTGCTCCATCTTGGTTAGATTGTGCTGAATTTGCAGACAGATTAAAAAACGGGCCTGGTAAAAGATTACTTGAATCGGTTGCTGTATTTAAAATTTCATTTTTATCTGAATTTAGCGAATTTGTAAAATTGGAATTAAACACTTGCGAATGAACGAATCGACAATGTTTACCAAACTTGCATTTTTTACCACTGATGTAAAATTTGCAAGGTTTTTCAGTCATTACTTGTAAAACACAACCTCTTTCTGATCTCCTGTCTAGATAATTGTTCATACAATAATACTTTTCAACAAGAATTATTGCTTGTTTTCTGTTCAACAGTTTGAGTTTAGACTTAGACTAGAGCTTGAAATACAAGTTGAAAAATAACTGTGACTTCAAGGTGCAAACAAAAGAAACACAATAAAATAAATAGTCAAGTTCTCCCAGTATGGGCAACTGAAGTTTGGGGAAAGAGCAAGAAGTTATATAGTTCAAAATATTTCACAATTCACTGCAACCAGTTATCGCCTGGCTTGTGGTGGTGCAATAATACGCCTTACAACTCTGTTGTAGTCTGTTTCATATAACATTACACGAAAAATAAACCCTATAGAAATACACAACTAAAATATTTTCTACAGCATAAAATGGTATGATTGGCATTAATTGTTTTTCATGGGTTCATAGTGTAGTTTCGCAGATATTGTTTGGAGTTTCCAAGCATTAGTTTAAGAAATTCTTTTGCAGTAGCTTCACAGAAATTAATACGCAGAAACTGAGGTCCAAGGTCACAACGCGATGACCTTGAACCCAGTGAAAATGGCTGCTTCCATGCAGTATAACATGTTTGTGAGGGGATTAGTTTGTGCCCTTTCAAGAACTGCTGATGTCTTACACAGACTAAATTTTTCCAATAAAGTAATACTTAGTAGACATTCATTGGGATTGTTTTCTTCGTCCGCGGTAAAAGAAGAAGTTGACAAAAAACCGCATTGCAACGTTGGAACTATTGGACATGTCGATCATGGCAAGACAACTTTGACAGCAGCGATTACGAAAGTTTTGTCCGAGAAGGGTTTAACAAACTTTGTAAACTATGATCAAATAGATAAAGCACCAGAAGAAAAACGTCGAGGAATAACCATTAATGCTGCACACGTGCAATATGAATCCCGGTTAAGACATTATGCACACACTGATTGCCCTGGCCACATTGATTTTGTGAAAAATATGATTACTGGCACTTCTCAGATGGATGGTGCCATTCTTGTTGTTGCTGCTACAGATGGGTGTATGCCACAAACCAGAGAACATTTACTCTTAGCTAGGCAAATAGGAATAAAACGTGTGGTTGTATTTGTAAACAAAGCTGATATTGTTGATGACGAATTGGTAGAATTGGTTGAGTTAGAGGTTAGAGACTTGCTTACAGAATATGGTTTTGATGGCAATGAAGCCCCCATAATATCTGGATCCGCATTGGAAGCCTTGAATGGTAGTCATGATAAAAATGGATCAATATCTATTATGAAGTTGATAGAAACTATTGATGATTATATTCCTACTCCTACAAGAGACATAACTGCACCATTTTTGATGCCTATTGAAGGTTCCGTAAATATTACTGGTCGAGGCTCTGTTTGTATAGGTACCTTATTACAAGGTACTATAAACAAGGGACAGGAAGCAATGATAATGGGGTTTGGAACAGAAATCAAAACTGCAGTTTCAGACATGCAAATTTTCAAGAAATCTGTGCCCCAGTGTTTTGCAGGGGATCATTTGGGTGCTTTGTGTAGGGGGATTAAGAGTGACTTTATTGAAAGAGGTATGTTTTTATGTCAGACAGAAAGTTTCAAACAATGGGATACTTTTGAAGCTCATATCTATGTTTTAACAAAAGCGGAAGGAGGAAGAACTAAACCTTTACTACACAAGTATATCCAACAGATGTTTAATAAAACATGGAATATTTCATGTTGTATATTACTGCCTGAAGATAAACCAATGATTATGCCAGGTGATACAGCTACAGTGACCATATTACTCCGTAAACCTATGATATTAGTAGAAGGACAACGTTTTACTGTTCGTGAAAATGATATAACAGCTTTAACAGGTGTAATCATAAAAACTCTACCATCTTTGGACCTAAAACTGAAAGGCTTTAACATGGAGATTCAGAAAACTTATAGAATTGAGAGTAATGCAAGGCTTGTTTTAAACAAACGAGCCAGAAATAAAAAGTAGACAGGCAGAAAGTTGATGTACCCATAGAAGAATTATGATTTTGTTAGTGTAATTTTTATATCCAAGGTGTTTCAGTAGACTTTGAGCAGCCTGATGTCCTTTTGTCAATATGATTTTTTCAGCCATTGAGGCCATATTGATTGTACTTCATTTAGTTAAAGCTGATATGTGTTTACCTATACATTAAAACTTTGTTAACACTTCAGAGTAGCAAATGTCCGTTTGTCTGACATTCACATTTTTAAATAGAATGATAGAGTCTTCTGTACCTTGTCAACAAGATTCTCTGTGTTAGTCCTGTAGTGGCTGCAATTATGAGTCTTGTTGACCTTGCATTCAAAGGAGCTAAATCACTATTCTTTGGCACCTAGAAATGGAAACAAATGGGTCGCAACGCATGTAATGTAATAATGTAATATGAAAACTGATTTACATTGTATCGTTTCTTTTTTTACTGTAATTTCAGTCTACTCCGATAGCCTTTCCCTTGTGGGATATGTTTAGCCTCGTTCATCCAGTCACTTCATTACAAATGGTGCTTCAAAGCATTCTGGCACACTGTGTCTTAAAGATTGGTTAGATAATAACATTATTGTTGATTTAAACTGACAAATAAGTCGTGTTTGCAATGCTACTGAATTAAATATTTGGCTACAGGACTTTCTAAGCATTGTGGATAGAATTTGATTTCAAGCATTAAAGTGCAATGAAAAGTTTGTGTCAGCTTTTGACATTTTGTGATGATACGTTACTGCTTTCTCTTCAGGAAACTTACCTGTGTTATTATGGTGTGGGTTTTTCCTATTGTCTACAGTGTCTAGTACTCTTCCCAGGGTGTTACCCACAATAACTAAAATATTTTAAGAATGCAACCCCTTCTTTGTCCAAGAGATCTAGAATTGGTACCAGGCATTTATCAATGAAATTGCTGTACCTCCTTAAAATATTTTAGTTTAATTGTCCCCTGCCTTTTAGGCACCTGTCCATCTGTCCAAACTTTTGGAGCACAATAACTCTGCTTCTAATTGAGGTAAACTGTTCAAAAATAGTGTTTGACTTTGTTGCATAGAAATGATTTCAGAATTGTTATAATTTTCATCTTAGATTCTCTATCTGACTTCAATTCTAGTATGTTTGGCTTTAATTCATAGGGGGTCACGGTGGCTAAGTGGGTAAGACGCTGGCTCGCTAGTCTGGAGGTTCGGTGTTCGATCCCTGCATTTGCCGAGAAAGTTCATCCAGATTTTCTGGCGTGGTTCCGCCGTGTCAATGATGCAGGACGGAGGACCTGACAAGGACAGCTGTCTAGTCGTTTGGATGGGATGAAAAACCGAAGTCCCGTGTACACATTGGCCTGCACATAAAAGATCCCTTGACAGTTGGAATTTGATATAAGAGTAGGCTGTAGTGCCGCTGTCCGGGCAAAATTTCCCTCATAGCATACTGTATGGCATATGCCCGTCTTCATTAGCCCATATCGGAGCAGAACAGTAGGACGTTGAACCTCATTTCATTTCGTTTCACTTTAATTTATGCTTCAAGGAACTAAACTTTTTATGAACATGAACTAAAACTCTGTTTACATTACAAATTTGGCACGGTTGATTTTTTGTGGTGTAAACGGGTCAAACATAAGCGTGCCGTACTGAGTACCATGTCAATTTGGCCCACTGAAGTGAGGTTGTCTTGGCACGGGTCAAACATAAGCGTGCCGCACTAAGTACCCTGCCAATTTGGCCCACTGAAGTGAGATGGTCTCGGCACGGTGCCAGGCGCGGCACGGTTATGTGTTAAATTTTCGTGGTGTAGATGCTATCTGGTCTGAGAACAGTTCTCAGTATGAATTACTGCGCATGCGCCAAATGAACCTTGACATTTTTTCCTGCGAGGATTGACAGTTCTGTCATCAGTTTTGTCAAAATGGCTGCCCAAACTAAATCAACCGCCATAATTGTTTTCATCCAGGTAATTTGCATAGGGACTGAAATTAACTTTTCTGTGACGAGCTTCACATTTTGACGTGCCTGGCACGGTTTCGAGACCGGTTATTTCAGAGTAATGTAAACAGGTCAATTTCTTGAAATTATCACTGCCTGGTACTGTGCCGAGAACGGCACGCTTATCGCGGCCAAGTGTAAACGGGGCTTAAGACAGTGTTATTTATAGAATTCAACTTGTGGTTGGTAAACCCTTGAAAATGTATAAAGCCATGAATCTGTGTTGGGAGTGCCGGTGTGGGTGTAATGCATAGAAGCATTTCTAATTTGCCCAAAACTAGCCTTTAACTCCAAATTTCAATAATCAGAGCCAAATATATTGTTGGCACAAATAAACGGTGTTAAGGTCACTTTGTAACTTAGATCCATCTCAAGCCAAATCTACCAATATCACATTAGACATTATCGGAAAACATTTGACAAACTATCTATACCCTTTATAAGCCTACACATTGCAGTCATAGTCCAGGGAAGATAGCACAAGTGCCAGTTGCTGCAATAAAAATGCCGACTACGGTTTATGGTCGGTCTAGATCTATATTATCACCAAAAAAAAAAAGTCCCAGTCCGAAATCCGTGCCCAAATGTGTTAAATTGGCCAAAAAAATCCAAAATGGCTTCTGGTTTTGGCCAGTAAATTCCTATTTCCACCCAATTATCACAATATGATCGCGTTTGGTATCAAAATATACGTTGTCGGGGAAACCGAATCCATTTCCATACACACATTTTTTTGATAATTGTTACCGCTACATTAATATTTGGAAATTGCAACACGGGCGCTGGCTGGGAATGTTTTTGCCGATTAGCCAAGAACCCTATTGACATTTAATCTGTCACCAGTTTCCTTGGCTTGGCTTAAAGTGTATCTTGATCGTCTTCTCGTTCTTCCACGGATGACTTCCAGAATGGATTTCACAGTCGGATTAATATTTCGGTAATATTCAGAATCATTTAATTTGTCATAGTTTTATTTATTTATCTAAATGAATATAGGAAAACTGTAACACGACCGACAGGAACGTTTTTGCCGGATAGCATCCACGAGGCCAATACGCTAATCGTCTCCACGAACTCTTGACATTTAATCTGTCACCAGTAACTTCCTTGGCTTGGCTTAAAATTTATCTTGATCGTCTTCTTGTTCTTGGGATTGTCAGTCTACTTTCAATTCTACCTACCCTCATTAAGGAACAGAATCGAACGAAACTTACAATCGGGTTGTACCCTTTGTTAATTGTAAGGGATATCAGTCCCTGTTGATGCGTGTTTTTCTTTACTCGCAGGTCGTTTAGGTCTTGATTACAGCTATGTTCATGTTTAGATATTTAGGAGTTAATCATAATCCCTTAACATAAGTGTCATTGTATGCTATGTCATGGCTCACATCAAATCTATTCTACCACTTGCCACAGAACTCAAATTTTCCCGATCCTGCCTTCTCGCCTAAAAGCTTTGGTCTGCCTACCCTCACTCGGAGGACCTTCGCTCATCTGACCTAAATTTTCTGCCATTAAATTGTTATCTCTGCTCATTAGGGATCTTAAACGGCCTATTATTGCCGGCCTCTAATACCCGTTATCTTTCCGTCATTTTCGGAATGACGGTGGACAGTTCATTATCAAATGGTTAACTGCATGTCGGGATCCACCTGTGTCTCATCATTTGAATCGTTTTGTAAAATAAATTCGCTGTGTGCTTCAATAGGTTAAGCCGTCTTAGTACAATTTTCGAGGTTGGTGATCGAAATCGGACACGCCCGCGACGCTACGTCCACGGTGAGCTGAGAAAGGCCCCATTCCTCATTCCTGCTACACTGCTTCCTCCGTGAGCAATAGTCGACCAGAGAGTCTAAATGAAATTTAGTTGATGCTTACTGAATGCAATAGTATTAGACTCGACTAGGCCTACTCTTAATCCCAAAATCTCCAATGGGATTTCCACATATTTTGACTCAGGGGAACAGAACATAAGTCGAAAATGGAATAAGCTGCCCCCAAAACGTATTTTTTGATTTTGACACCAAATGTGGTCATTTTGTAAAATTTGAATTTTCCCGCCAAAACTGACCACCATCTGGAATTATTTCTCAAACATTGACTCCGCGGTATAACTAATCACAAAAATGTGTATGGAAATGGATTCAGTTACTCCGAAAGGATATATTTTTATAGCAAACTGGGTCATATTATGATACATGTAACTGGATAAAAATTGGCATTTTCCAGTCAACACTGGTGGCCATTTTGGATTTTTGCCAATTTGACCTACTTGGGCACGGATTTCGGACTGGGGCGTTTTTTTGGTGATAATATATAATACGTTTCAACCGACCATAAACTGTGGTCGGCATTTCTATTGCAGCAACTGTCGTGAATGGTTCGAAATTGAGTTAAAATGCCTGGACTATCTCTGATTGAACGCAGGCTATGCAGAATTTCGTGCAGTCACGTAAAAAACAGGATTGTGAGTATTATCTCAAGATGAACGTGCATGATTGTTGCATAAATACCTGGGGAGACAGAGCGATGACTAAGTACAGGGTAACCCCCAAAAAACAGAAGCCATACAATTTTTATTATATCTTACAAAGGTCCAGCACATGCTACAAAGATCTCCAAAGTTTCAGTTATCTTGGTGGCTTTGCATAAAAGTCATATTCTTTCCTAAATATACTCCAAATGGCCCCTGCGGCAATGGAGGCAAACTTGCATAATTCGCGCAAAATTGTCAATTAATTACTCGAACACATTACCTTTTGGGGATTACAATTGCCACTCCCTTTTTGCCATTTATCTATTTTAGTGAGGAAATTGCATATTATAGATGCTTTGTTTTAATTCGAATATTTGTTAGGAATTTAGCCTGGAATTTTATCTGATCTATTAAAAGGGTTACAGATATATATTAGTAGAAATACTGTTTGAGCGAACTTATATAGTCCCTTGCTTGGTGTTCAATCTGCAAAATTCCATAAGCCTCTTATATTATGAAAAATAAATAATTATATATTCCAAGGGCCTACGATGAACTGATACAGATGGAGAAATTACAATAATTATTTATTTTTCATAATATAGTTAATTTGACATAAATATTCTGATAGCTCAATTATATTTCTATCTTTACTTCTCTGTCTTAGTTCACAAATGCACACTCAATTATTACATGTGTATTAATCTTGAAGAATAGGATTTTACTAGTTGTGTACAGTAATTGTATATTTAACTAAGTGATTACCACAGAGTAAGTGATTACCCTTATCTATAACATTATTTGACCATTTTTACTTCCTGGGTCACAATAATCAAAGGTGAATTTAGCAAGTTTACATTTTTATTGAAATGAAAGAGTGATTACTTTCGATCATTTTCAGCATGTTTTCATGACACAAGAATGGCTGCGCATTCATTTTCAGTGCAAATGACCTCATTTGACCTTTGAAAACGCCCCTAACGACGGAATGATTACCTCCCGGCTACGTATTTTACGCAAAATTTTACTATAGAAAAGTTGGGTCTGGAGGGTACCGGAATCTGCCGAGTGGCTAAGTCTAGTGAGCGCAAGCAAGGCTTCGAGTTAACGCCCTTTAGTATGCACTACACATGCGTAGTTCATTAACAACCTTATGTTCATTACGTTCCACGTCATGATATTGCTTGACATTTGGATTTTTGAAACATTTTGCCTTCCTATTTAAGTTATATTAAATTTGGTTT